GATCATCAACTTAAATCTGGTAAGATGGCATGCAGAAATTATAAAATTAAAAATATGAAACAGTAATTTATGAAATAAAGAGCAATTATGATCTAAAGGGTATCAAAATTTACAAGAAAAAGCTAATATTTATTTGTTTACTTTATTAAACATTTCTTTCAATATAAGTTGTTTAAGTTGCTTCTTTTTGTGCTAACACTTTCTCTTTAATTTTATAAACAGACATAATTTCTTGTTCAGTTCCACTGTGCAAGTCCTGTAATTGCTGTGTCGAGAATACCGACTAACTTATCAATCGAAATATTTTCGTTTTCAATAACCTCTCTGTCACTTTCTTCACTATCGGAAGCGGTACATTGAAACATGGTTTTGCTTTGTAGATCCAGAATTCCAGAATTCTGGCAGCTCCAGAAATGGAAACACTTTTTGATATAATCGAAAGTTCAAGCTTACTTTTCATAAAATTGCTCTAACAGTCTGCGCAAAAAATAATAAGCCGGATTCAATTAGAAGATTAAGGAACAATGCGATCTGCAACATTAATTGAAATAGATAATTGGATAATTTTAGCCTAGCTTATACCGTCCATTATACATTAAACGCGCATGCATAAACGTATTATGCACATGCGTAAATGCATATGTGCATGCGTAAATGTATTATGCACATGGGTAAACGCATATGCACATGCGTAAACTTATTATGCGCATGCATAAATGCATAATGTGTTTACGCATGCGCAGAAAGTTTGTAGCTTTTGAGGTCCGGATTATGGACATCCGGATTAAAGACTTTGTACTGTATACACATATACATACAATGTATACATATATATGTATAATTTAAAAATCAATATTAATATCAAAAGATATTATAAACTCAAAAGATATTAATATTAATACCTTTTGAGTTTGGTTATTAATTTTTGTGAAATGATGATGTACCTGGATCACATGTACTAATTCAGGACTCAGAGTTGCCAACTCTCCCGATTTAGGCGGGAGACTCCCGATTTTCGACCGCTCTCCCGCCAACCCGATTTACAATATATTTCTCCCGACTTTTTCTTATTCTAAATATTTCTCACGATTTTTATGGAACTTGGCTTAATACTTCGTTATATGAACAAAAAAAAAGTGATTTTGGACGTCTGAAAGCAACTGAATTTTCTCTAGATTATATCTAAATGAACCTTGCAAATCAGATGAGAATTTCTGCTTTGTGATTGACATCATACGTATCCAGAAACGTCGTTCTCCAGTTGTCCAATAGGCATCGAGCTCCACTGCGTGTCATCTGGCATATATTAGCCAATGAGCACAAAGCAAGCTCAAGGCCGTTGGCCGTTCTTTGGATGTTTTTTCGCTATTTCGTTCATCTTGTCCTGAGTTGTGTGAGTACACGTGCCTTTAGGAAATAGTTTTAGAAATTATCATCTTTTGATATGTCTACGAGAAAGGTGAAATACTCGTGCACGTTTCAAAAATCATACACAGTTGAGTTTCCTTCCATTATTTCTTCGAGGAAATTTAATAAATTTGCGATGTGTACCATCTGTCGTAGCGATTTTTCGATTTCGCTTGGTGGAAGGGCAGATGTTCTCAAACATGTGCGTACACAAAAACACAAGGACAACATGAGTTATTTTGAAAAAACGAAAAATTAAATTTTTCTTCGGAAACAAAACACCAAAAAGTGATTAATGCAGAATGTCTGTTCTCTGCCTTTTTACTGGAGCACAACCTGCCACTGAATGCATCGGATCACGCTGCAGCTTTATTTAGAAAAATGTTTCCCGATAGTGAAATCGCTAAGAAATACTCAAGTGCAAGGACCGAAACAGGTGCAATTGTTAAAGAAATGGGTTTGAAAAATAAATCTTCAGTTATTGATTGCATTAAAACAGCTCTGTTCTGCCTCTCTACGGATGGAAGCAATAATACCAATTCAAAACTGTATCCAATTGTTGTTTCTTTTTTTAATCCAGAGTCTTCAGAAATTGAGTGCAGTTTACTTTCTGTCCCCACTTTAGAAGGGCATTCGACAGGCTTTAATATAGCACAGCTAATTATTAAAACTTTAAAATAAAATACAGTCCCTCTGGATAATTGCTTAGCGCTTGGTGCCGATAATGCACCAGTAATGGTAGGCTTGAAGACTGGTGTTGCAGGCATCTTAAGAAAGGCAAATTCAGATTTGCAGATTATGAGGTGCACCTGTCACCTCTTAAATTTAGCAGCTGAAAAAGGGCAGCTTCTTTACCATTAAATGTGGATGAACACATTGTTGATATTTATTATTATCTTGAAAGGAGTTTTTCTAAAAGAAAGGAAAAAATTGAAACAGTTCCCAACAGCTGCATAATACTGGAAATGAGAAAAAATTTTGATTTTTGTAATTTCTGCATCATTCAGCAATTCAACGGGCAGGCAGTTCTCAAAATAATACTGCAAAATATAAGCGTAAAGCTGATACAAATTTCTCTCAAAATAATTAAAAACAAAAATTGCTCAACACATGAAACATTTTCCGATTACTGTAAGTTTATCTTGTGGAGAACGAATATTTATGTTTTTTTCTTCGGACCTTAACAAAGCTTTTTGCTTTTTTTTAACAATTCATTTTGCCATCATTCGATGTTCTGAACACAATTCTACAAAGCAGAATTCCATTAATTCATGCTTTGCAATCAATGATTTATGATCTGTTTTAAAGACATTTTATCAAAGTTTGTAAAACCAGTCTGTGTTTTGTCTTGTAATTCCTATATATGATGTGATTTATGGCGAAACAGAAAATCAGAAGAAAGATGAAGATTTGGTAATAGGAGCTGCAACTACAAAAAGTAGTGGAAGAACTTTCAGAAGACAAAAATAAGTTTATCTTCATGTTAGAAGTTTACTTCTGTCGAGTATGTGATTACACACACAAAATTCCAGTCAACGATGAAGTGATTTTGCATGCTAAAGTTGCTGATGTTTCTGCTCTAGCAAATGCATCTTTTTTTTTATATAAGGTACTTTTTGAAACAGATTTCCTGTGTTACTTTGTTTAGTCATGAAAGATGATGATATTGATGTTGCTACTGATATACTGCAGTCGCAATTTGCAGTTTACAATTAGAAAACTTGGATTAAATTATAAAATCAGCTAGGATTGACACCAGTGGAGGTTTAATTGGAAAATTGAAAGGTGCTGATGGAATTTTAAAATATAGTGAACTCTCTAGAATTAGTTGGCCATCTTGACAGTTTCCCCATAGTAATGCAGAGTGTGAGAGGATTTTCAGTGTTGTTGCGAAAACGAGGACTAAATTTAGATCTAATGTTAGTGATGACACATTAGAAAAACTTTTATTAGCGAAAGCAGGCCTACGTGGCAATTGCTATGAACAAAATTATGAAGTTCTTTCTAACGAGAGCAAAATCTGCCACTGTCCATAACATTTGTATGAAAACTGATTAAAGTGCCTTTTTTTTTTTTTTTAAATGATGAAAGTAATAAAAATGTTTTTTATGTCTAAGGTATTTTTGTTTTGCTTGCATTTAAGACTTAGTAACTATTTAAAGTTAATTCATTATTAAAATCTATATTTTTATCATTTAAAAAGTCTTTTTAACATTGTGAAAAATCTCCTGATTTCTTAAAAAAATATCCTGATTTTTGAGTGTCATAGGTTGGCAAGTATGAGGACTGATTCAGATTACATTTCTCCTGTTTTCTTCAATAAATAAATAAATTGCTTCAGTGTTTGCCTGTGGTGAGTTTTTGAAAGGGGAAAGATAAAGAATAAAGGCAAACTAATATATATATATATAGGCGTGAAGAAATAAATTTAATAGTTGTTTTCAGGTTAATGATTTTAATCCAGAAACTTGACATTTTTGATGTCTTAGGTTTATTTATTCAGGATACCACCTCATGAGAACTACAGTCAAAAGTCTTTAATCTGGACTCGTCGGGACTTCGGCGATTACGGATTATCGATTTTTCCGGATTATAGATCATCAGTTTAAAATCTGGTAAGATGGCATCAGAATTATAAAATTAAAAATATTAAACCGTAATTTATGAATAAAGAGCATTATGATCTAAAGGGTGTCAATTGACAAAAAAAGCTAATATTTATTTGTTTACTTTATTAAACATTTCTTTCCGCTCGCCTGCGTAAAGCATACATTACAGTCGAAATTACAAAATTGCAACCAGAAAACTATTTGATGTGTACTCATGATATTTATGATGACGAGGAATTTGATTTAAATCATATCAAAGGCGGAGCACATCGAGATTAAATACTACATTTAGTAAGGAATTATAAGCCGAATAAAATAAAAACATCTGCCCTGAAGATAAAAATAGTGCTGTCAAATCAACTTCCAGTTCATTGCGCACAGCGATGCCCCCCCCTCCCGCAGAGCAGCGTAAAATGGATACACAGATTTCGGAATGGTTAGAAAAACAAAGGATATGCCTTTATCCCTTTTTTGCAGAAATTCCACTTTTTGTTTGATTGACATCGAAACATACTTTCGCTTTGTAGATCCTTTGGTAGCTCCAGCATTGGAAATTCTATTTGACATAATCGAAAGTTCAAGCTTACTTTTATAAAATTTCTCTAACAATCTGCAAAAAAGTAATAAGCCAGATCCAATTCGAAGATTAAGGAACAACGCAATCTACAACATTAACTGAAATAGATAATTAGATAATTTTAGCTTAGCTTATACAGTCCATTATACATTAAACGTGCATGCGTAAACTTATTATGCACACATACATATGCACATGCGTGAATGCACTATGCATTGATGCATGCACAAAAAGTTTGTAGCTTTGAGGTCCAGATTATAGATCATTCTGGATTATTGGTGTCCGGATTAACGACTTTTGACTGTATTAATATATGTCTCTCTCTCTATATATATATATTGAGCATAAATACTTTTTATTGGGTATAAGTATGGCCATTTTGTTAAAATTTTTTATTAATTTTGAAGGGGATCATGCTGTAGATATAAGAGTTGATGGGCAACCTATTGCTTCCAGTCCATATTTGGTGAAAGTATATGATGCATCACGTGTGAAAGTTACAGATATTGGATCTGGAGTTGTTGGAAAGCCTGTTTATTTCAGCAGTAAGTAGATGTTCTATAAAATATCTTTTAATGAACATACTTCATTTCAAGGTAATTGAGAAATCTGTTCGAGTGTTGTATTAACTATATAATTTTTATCTTAATAGCACAAAATAATTGGGCAATTTTTTCTGTTGTTTGTTTGGTATTTACCGAATATAATAGTTGCGTATAATATAGCTTAGGATATTAGAGCTGAATATCTGTTGATCAAGGAATTCGTTTATTAATTATTAACCCCAAATAGTACTAAAATTTTTTTTAATTTAAGAAGCCACTGAGTAGCATATGGGGCTGAAGCTCAGCTATTAAAAGATCTAATATTCTTTTGTATGTCTTAATTCAAATTATAAATGGTATTAAACCATGAAATAACTTTTTTTAAAGTGATCGAGAAGGGAATGTTTACTTTTGTATACTTTATCTGCAATCAAAAGCTTTCTCCAGTTTATTTAAATTTTATAAAGATTTCTGATAATTAACACTCTGTCTGTGGGTGAAATCTGATACCTTTTCTTGCTGCAAAAACTGATCACAATTGAAATCCCAGTATCTACCAACACAATATTCCATACATATGTTCAGGATAAAAGCTGAGTACACTGTTTACAGATCCCGTGCTCAGAGGGTTCAAGTTAACCTTGTGTAACACATTTGCCACTGTATTTACAAGGAAGGTATCCCAAGCTGAGTTGATTCTAAGTATTTGAAAAGCAGTTTATTAGTGAAATATGAACAACCCAGGAAAAAAATTTAAATGTGAAGTTTGCTTGAGGCAAATTCCTGATAAAAGTTTGCAAAGTTTTAAAATTTCTTTAAAATCTTTAAAAACAGTGCTGCATTGCAGAATATTGTTAGATTTGTTATATATTTGTAACTGTTATAAATTATCAAAATATTGTTATATATTTTCATTTTTCTGCATACATCAGTTTAGCTACTAGTTTTCTTTTCTTTTTTTTTTTTTTCTTTCTTTCTTTTTTTTAACTTTGTATACTTCTAAAAGAGCTAAAGCATTTGTAATTTTTTATGCTGGTTTATGTAATATAATTTCAGTGTTTCATTGAAGATGCTTCGTTAGTTTGTAACAGATTTGGAAACCAGTGTTTTCCTGAACTTAAAATTGATTTTTTTAAAAATCCAGTTGATTCTACACAGTTTGAAGGGCTGTAAACTGAATTTAACCCGTGAACGCACGCGCGGGATCCAATGGACCTGCCTGATTAAAGAAACCTTTCTGAAAAGACCTCTATTTTTTGCAAGTGGTTGTGGTTCTGTGGTGTCTCTTCCAAGGCCATCCTCTTTATGTTTCCGAAGTTTTTCGCTGGAAATTTGATTCAAAGTTTTGTTTTGATCTTTCAGTTTGTTCTATTCATATTCCTGTAATGTAGTTCCTTTATGGTAGTACAGAAAGCTGCAAACATGTCACATAATTTATCCTATAAGGAAGAAGAGTTACATTTACAAAAAGTATTAGAAGATGTATCAACTTTTGAAGACTCCATTGAAGAAACTGATGATGAAAGTTACAGTGAACTTTTTAGTTCTCATGATACTGATTCAGAAATCGAGATGCATTCTGAAAACAAAAATGAGAATGACTTTATTGCTTTATTGGGGGGGGAGGAACAATGGTCAAAAGAAAAGCCAAAAGTTGATGTTAGAACTCCTGCTCATAAAATTATCACTAAATTGCCTGGAAACATCGGCAAGGCAAAATATGTGCGGACTCCAAATGAATCGTGGGAACTTTTACTAAGTGAACAAATGCTGCTGAAAGTCATCAGTTATACAAATATTTATATTGCTACTATTTCTGACAGCTCTCAAGAGATATGCTTGTCACACAACTCTAATTGAAATTTGCACTTTTATAGGTGTTTTTTTATATTTTTGTGACATAAGTCAGCTCATGTAAATGTGCGGAATCTGTGGAAAATAGACGGAACCGGGTTGGAAATTTTCCACAAACCTATGTCCTACAAACGTTTTTTTTTTTTTTTTTTTTTTTTTTTTTTTTAATGAAGATGTTTGTATTTTGATGACATAAGAACTCGCATCGTCAAGAAAGAATCTGATAAACTTGCACCTGTAAGAGAGATTTTTGTGAATAACTGCCAGAAATATGGCACTGTCTGTGAGTTCATAACAATTGAGGAAAAACGAAGCTTTCTGAGGAAGATGTTCTTTCAGGCACTATATTCCTAATAAAGTTGAATAATAATTCCTGAATAATAATATAAGGAATTCCTAATAAATTCTATATTAATTTAATACGTATTTCTATTCCTTAAAAAATTATTTCATAAAAATATTATATAAAGTAAAATTTTTTTTTATAATGTGCATATTTTTTAAGTTCTATCATAATATTTTGGTTTGATCATAGCACTCTTATCTGAAGAGTAACAGTTTTTTCTTCAAAAAACACGAGCCTGGTCTTTTGGACCCAAGGCGCACGCTCCCGGGTTAAGAGCTAAATGTATGTTGATAAAGCAATAAGAATCCCAGAGTTTGATTCAAATTTAAGTCTCCAAGGGTTATGATCATAAAATTCCATGAAGAAGAAAGGCTTTTCAATTTGTTCCATCCTTGAAATTTTGCCTGTTTTTTGATGTGACTGATTGTGTTCTGAACGAGATATTACATCGTGCATTTTCTTTCTGAAATTTGTATGATTTTCTTTGCCCTCATCCTTCTGACTTCCTGTCATGCTTAAATGCTAGCAGGAAAATAGCACTCGTTTGAGTAGAAAATAACAGACTACAAAGTTGGAGTCATAATTTACAACCTTGAAAGACAGCTATAACATCTGCTAACCCTAGGATTTCATAGATAAGATTTTTAAGTTCTGAAAGTTTTCAAGCACCTTCTGTGTGCTCAAAAAATATATTTGTAAAAAAGAATTTAGCAAAAGGTGAAGTTTATATGTAAGACATAAATACGTTTTGATGCAATTAGTATAAGTTACAAATAATTTCTGTTAGCTTGGAATACATATTAAAGGTATTGTAGAATGGTTTATAAGTTTCTAGATAATTATTTTTCTATCTATAACAAATAATTTAAAATACTGTACTTGACAAGCTACTGTAGTAGTTCATAAACATGACTGCTTCAATATTTCTGTTCTGTTGTATAATAGTTCTGATTCTATTGTATAATAACTAAGAAACTTTTATATGATTTGTTTCAATGTTGCTGGTTATTATGCACAATCAGTTACCATTGCCAGGTTATGCAAACATGCTGAAGTATTGCTGATGTCCTGTTAATGTACAAAAGTACCCTTTGACCAGTTGGAAAATCTTGCTGAATTTAAGTTTCATAAATCAACTGCAGTTATTTGCATATATGAAACTTGTGATTCGATGCAGCTTGCTAAAATGCAGTGGTGTACAAGAGATTACTGCATTGATTTTTTTTTACCGCAATTTTTTATTATCTTTAATCTGTAATTATCACTTGAAATGAGTACTGTCTGTATGTGCAATAGAATGGGTCAGAAAAACACTTTTTTTTTGTAGTTTTGTATAGCTATACCCTGAAAAAGGTGCATATTGCTGACCTGCACAAAATGAAGAAGTTTTTATATAAAAATATATCTCATTCGCGCATTGCACTCAAAGCTTTAAAAAATAGCAGAATTTTGCTGTTTTTCATCAATTTTTTATAATTACGAAACTTACTACTATTGAAATGCATTTGCTTTTAATGTGAATTTTGGGACCTGGGGAATGCAAAAAATTAAGAACCAGTAATTGAAAATTTTTTATTGTTTATGCAAAAGGCTAAAAAAATTCACTTTTTTTGTAAAAATAGCAATATTTCGTAATTTCTGATTTTATTTTTTGTGTTTAGTAAACAAAAATTAAATACATTTATCATTTAATTTATTTTTATTCGTAAGATTAAAGCTAGTTTTTTTTTTTTCTTTAAATGCTGGCATAATACATGTTGATAGGAGAGTCGTCATAATCAACCATCTCTTGCCTCACTGCCGCACACCTTTTTTATATGCTCTCAGTGACAAGTTTGACACCGTTCTGCAGCGTGGGTGTGACAAGGAAATCTAGTTGCAATGATATGTCAATCTTTAATTGATTTTTGATGTCCTCATCCTCTGGTGAAGGAGAGATATTGCAACTATCCCACCAAATTTTCAAAATTAAGTGTGTAATGTCTGTATGTGCAATACAGTGAACCCCCCCCCCCCCCCCGAAAAAAAAAAAAAAACACTTATTAATCCAAAGGGATTTGAGTCCCAAAGGACTATTACTTTCGTTTTGGCATTTTGCTTCAGACTCCTATAAATGTCAGTTGACTTTTCAAACTGTTGCCACAAAATGTTAAGAGTCCTGCATTATATTTAAAGAAATTAAATAATGAAAAATCTGCATAAATGTATGTATATTTCTCGTATCGTGATAAAACAATGGTATCTAGAGTCATCCAATTTTGAATGACGTAATCCTATTGCGAAGATGGGCATCTGAAATCCCAAATTTGGAATTTGTTTTATATAGATTTTATATTTTGTAAAACTTTAACGAATTTTTTAGTAAAATTTATGTTGCTATTTTTGCAAAAAGTTATGTTTTTTAGCTTTTTTTAAACTGTAAATAATTTAAAATTACAGGTTTAAAACTGCTTTCATGTTTCTGTGCCCCAGAATTCACATTAAGACATACAACATTTCAATAGTAGTGAGTTTAGTAACAAAAACAATTGATGAAAAATATAAAAATTTCAATTTTTATTCAAATTTAATCGGAGTGTGATGCATGAATGGAAGATACAAGTATATCTGAAATTTTCACTTTACCTAGTTAGGCAATAGACAATTTTTCCAAACTGTAACAATTTTTTTTTTAAGTGTTCTACCTTATATACTAAAGTATGTCTCCAGTATGATAGGTATCTTTTTACTGCAAGATAATCTTCAAAATTTCTCGAAGCCTGGCCCCATTTTTCAAAAATTAAATTTGCATCAGTTTTATATAACCATTTCGATTATAGTGGATTAACAGCCAGATTAATCTTCATTTATATTTTTGTAGAATATTAGCACTAATTTGTTTTTATTATTGGCAAATGATGCTAAATAAGCAAGTTCATATATGTAGATATATCACAAAAAGGTTTTTATTAAAATATAATTATTCAAAGTATTCTTGTGCAGTATGCTGCGGAAAATTATCAGTATAGACAGAAGTAAGAAATTTAGAACCTGTTTTACACAAAGACCCGAAAAGAGTGAAATTTAATACAAATGAATTTTTAAAAAATCCAATAAATAGATAATGAGAATTAAGGAAATATTAGATTAAAACCTAAAAATAATAAATATTTCAAAAAATATACCAATACCAGGAAAAAATAAATGAAGAAGAGGAATTCAATTTAATCTGATGTAACATTATCAAGAGGAGGATACATCAGACTCAATTACAGTTCCCTTCCTACTTGAAGACTTTTGCGTTTCTGTCTTCAAAATAAACTAATGAACTATTCTAAAGTTTTTCAAAAATATAACAGTTCGTTCGAAAATTTTGAAGTCCTGAAAATAGACCTTTCTGTTGAATTTAAAATTGAAAAAAATAAAGTAAACTGAGAACATGAATTTAAAACTTACTCAGAGGACAAAGTAGCAATCTGGTAGTAAAAGTAGTAAACACATCCATTTGAACAAATTTTCAAATTTGAAGAATGTAAATAGTTAAGCAATTTTTTTTTTTACACAGTGTAAGATTAAAATAAAATTGCAGAAATAGAATCTACTAGAAAAGAAGCAAGAACAAAGTCAAAGTACAAAATTCGAAATAATTAATACAATCTTTCGATTAAAAAATGATGCTTAGGTTTGTCAGTTTGACTTAATTGTCAAAACAACTTGGCAAAGGCAAGTTAGAAATCTCTTAAAAGGTGAATTTAGTGCTTGTAAAAATTTTTTAAAAATATTTTTATATAAATAAAAGAAAAGTGTAGGGGAAAGTGAGAAAAGGAAGAAAAAATACAAATGTTAGAAAAGTAAAAATCTTCACGTCCTTGGCTTATCATGACGACTGGAATATCGTAGGCCCCAAAGTTAGTAACAGCTGAGTGAAGAAGATACAATAGAAAAATATAAAACGCAAAAAGTATAAAACCTTCTAAAATACCTTTCTTTATCCTTCTCTATTTGAGCTTTCAGATTAAAAACTCATACTTTTAAAAAATTTAATGGGGTGTAGACCACTCGAGATTTTTTTAAAGTCTGTTAATGAAGGTAATTGGAATTTTATTTTCTTTTAAAATTTTGGTGAGAATTACAATTTCTTCTAATTATTGTGTTTCAGAGCAAAGTTTAATAATTTTGTTAATTTGATTTATAACTAAACTGTATTTTTAATAACTTTCTTAGAGATTATGGAAGTACCAATTTAAAAGTTTTATTGTAGTTTAAATTTAAAAGTTAAATTCTCTTCTTTTGTCAAAAATTCTGTTTCTTTAAGATTATAAATGTGAAGATCAAAATAATCAGTTACTAAGTGATTTTTATTGGTTTTATTAAGTTTAAGATAGTTTGGGTATATGTTGATATTTTCAATAATATTCTTGTTGTTGAATGGAATATCATCAGTATATCTGAACTTGTTTTCAAAATTATTGAAATCATTATCAGAGGTTTTTAAGAAATTTATGGAAAGAATTCCTCTATTTCTTGCTTTACAATAACTACATAAAGCATTCAAAATTTCTTACCTACAAACAAATGGGATTCCAATGTGAAGTTCATATTTAACTCATCTTTGTAACCTATTTTTATTTTCTAAAAAATTTAAATTTCCAAAATGCCTCTTTGATAATGATTTCAATGATTTCATACACCTTTCAAATGTATTGATGACATTATCACAGCCAACAATAATATTATTGAAAATATCAGCATATACCCAAACTATTAAACTTAAAAAAAAAAAAAAAAAAAAAAAAAAAAAAAAAAAAAAAAAAAACAATAAAAATCACTTAGTAACTGATTATCTTGATCTTAACATTTATGATCGTAAAGAAACAGAATTTTTGACAAAAAGAAGATAATTTAATTTTCCTCTCTAAAAAAGTTATTGAAAATACAGTTATAAATCAAATTAACAAAATAAAAGAATTTTGCTCTGGAACAGAACAATAGCTAGAAGAAATTGTAATTATCACCAAAATGAATTTACAATTAACTTCATTAACAGACTTTAAAAAAAAAAGCAGTAGTCTACATCCTATAAATTTTTTTTAAAAGTATGAATATTTTATCTGAAAGCGCAAATAGAGAAGGATAAAAGAAGGATGTTTTAGAGAGTTTTATAGTTTTTTATTTTTTTCTATTGCATCTTTTTCTTGACTTAAGCTGCTACTACTTTTGCAGCCTACTACATTCCAGTCATCATGATACGACCGTAATGTGAATACTTTACTTTTCTAACATTTGTATCTTTTCTTCTTTTTCTTCTTTTTTACTTTTGTCTACACTTTCCTTTCATATAAAAATTTTTAAAATTTTCCTTACAAGCATTAAATTCACCTTTTAGAAGATTTCTAACCTGCCTTCAGCAGTTTGTTTTCCCATTGAAGCCAAACTGGCAAACCTAAGCATCATTTTAAAAGTTATTGTTAATTGTTTAGAATTTTGTACTTTGATTTTGGTGTTCTTGCTTCTTATCTAGTAGATTCTATGTGTACAATTTAATTTTAATCTTACATTGCATAAAAAAGTTTTCTTAACTATTTACTTTCTTCAAATGTGAACATTTTTTCAAATGGATGTGTTTACTATTTTTATTACTGGATTGCTACTTCTTCCTCTGAGTAAGTTTTAAATTCATATTCTTGGTTAATTTTGTTACTTCTTTCAATTTTAAATTCGATTAAAATGTGTATTTTTCTTTACTTCGAGGAGGACGTCAAAATTTTTGGATGAACTTGTTTTATTTTAAAAAAAAACTTTAGAATAGTTCATCAGCTTGTTTTTGAATACAGAAGCACAAAGATTTTCAAGTTGGAAGGGGATTGTAACTGTGATGTATCCTCCTCTTAGTAATGTTTACATCAGATCTAATTGAATTCCTTTTCTTTATGTTTTTTCTGGTACTGGTATGTTTTTGAAGTATTTATTATTTTTATGTTTTAATCTCATGTTCCTTTAATTTTCATTTTGTAGTTTTTGGATTTTTTAAAACCTATTTGTATTGAATTTCACTCTTTTTGGGTCTTTTTGTAGGATGGGTTCTCAATTTCTTACTTATTATATATCTATATATATACACACACACACACTTTATATATCAGCTAGTAATAATATTTGAAACTTATACATAGTATCCAACCCAGATAAAGCAAGAGAAAACTAATTGCAACCATAACTGTTTTTTCTGTTCTAAGCTGTCAATTTGTACACATCACGCTTACTTTCTGCTTTTCAGGCTAGCTAGACTGCTATCTGCTACTTCTCTTCTTGTTGTGACATTAAAAAGTAAAATGTTCTAGAACAGGCACTGATTATATGAAGATATTCGTGGCTGCAAATGTTAACAAGAAAAAGGAATATTTTAGCCATGACTGTAGTCATGTTTGTCCTTCAACATTTTGACTTTGATTCACCATATTGCTAGGGTCCTTAAATAATATAGTATTGTGCAGAGGAAATGCAACTCCAGTGGGAAAAAAAGTGCGTTAAGTAAGATAAAATTTAACACTTGAATTGAGAACTACATTCTGGGAGCTAAATTTATTCTTGAGCAATTACACATGCCCTGTGGATGAGCAATTAAACATACCCAGGGGCTGAGCCAATTGTTTAGTGATACACCTGTCATATTAAGTGATACATTTATTTATGATGCATTCATTACTGTGCTGTAATTTGGACTATAATGCTACGAAACTGGATTTGAGTTGTCTTCATGGACGTTGTGTTTCCAGTGCAATCATGAAATCTTAATCTGATTTTTTTGTGATATTTCGAACTGGAGAGCAAGATCCAGGATGATATCTTATGGAAAATATTTGGAAAGAACTGTGTAAGAGGAATCTCTGAATATTAAAACTTCACAGTTTCAAATCAGGTGAATACACTACTAATAAAAATATGAATAGTTATAAATGCTAAAGAAAGCCCTCCTTTCCAAAAATAAAAATTGCAGTTGAATGTTTAAAATTGTCAAGGAACAATTAAATATACAAATACTTCTTAAACCATAAAACATAAGAAAGTTTTTCTTTCACATTATATATCTCTAAATTACATTTTTGGAGTGCACCGCTGAAATATGTTTGAATGAGCATTTCTGATTTGTTATTTTTAATTTTTAATTTATTTCTTTTAAGCAAATATTTCTTGTTTATTGTGTCTGGTGTACTAATACATTTTATGTTCATATGATGTATTCTGTTGCAGTGGTTTAAATTTCGTAATCAACTTAAAGGGCTTAGCAAAATATATATAATGATAAGCATCTACAAATATGAATGTTCATTATTATTGCTGATTTCTACTTTTTAACTGATAGACATGGAATTACTTATGCAAATGAACAGTTTTATATTTGCTTTAAAATTCAGTGCTTGAGTTTATGTCAATTTTTAGTTGATGCAAGTCAAGCTGGAGCTGGAAACCTGGAGATTATTGTGTCAGTTGGTGGTAGAAATGTTCCAAACTATGTTCAGTCAGAAGGCAATGCCAGATTTAGAGTAAATTTTAAGCCTACTGAAGCACAGACTCATACTTTGAGTGTTAAATTTAATGGAGAACCTGTACCAGGTATGAATCTTTGTCCACTCTCTTAATTTTGTTATAAATAAAATTTTTTTGTTGTATTCTATGGTTTTAATTTTCTAAAGGATTATTTTAATTTTTGTGCAGGTAGTCCTTGTTACATAAAAGTTACAGATAGCAGTCAGTCTGTGGTTACTGGATCATCTTTAAGAATGACTTCTTTGTCACAAGGAGCACATTTTACTGTAGATACGAGAGGATTTGAAAATGGAAACTGTAAAGTTGTTGTTACTGGTAAATTAGTATTCTGCATATTATTTTTAAATGTATTTTATTTACTGATATTGATCCAAATGCAAGTTTCCCCTACTTTACAGTATACAAGTAAAGAAAGAGCGTTTCTATAAAACTGTTCATCAGCCAAAATAATGTAAGATGATGAAGAAGTTACCATAAATTTACATGGGGAAAAGTTTGAAGATTCACAGATTTTTGTTTGGGTTTGTGAAACTAAAGAATTCTTAAAATAAAATCAAAAGTGAGAATATGATATGTACATAGTCCACATAAATAGACATAATGTAGCTATATCATAGTTTTACTTACTAAAATTTGAAAAGGTGAATGCAGAGGAAAATTTGAAAGTTAGTGTGACACTGATAATGAATATGTTGACCCATTGGGTGTGGTGATATAAGAAGTGAATTATATAAATGTCAGTAAATGATATAAGGCCTATGTTGTAGAAGAGGCCAGTTCTATTATTATATCATAATGATTGATAGCAATCAGATCATTGCATGTGTTATTTGTATGGCTACCTGTTCTGATTTCAAAATTCGAGGTTTTTGGCTGATGTGAAAAGGTTCAAGTAAAAGAGTATTTTGACTGCTAAAACCAACAAATGGTTTTATACTGTGTGATTTTAACAGGCCATCAAACATTCTGCAAATCTACTGTACACTTATGTACTCTTTTTTAATTAAATGTGTTTTTTCCCCTCACCATTGCATAAAGGAAAGTTTTCAGTTTAATTTTTTTCCCCTTATAGCAGAATTTCGTTTAGATTCATTTTGTTTTGGGGAAAATGTAGTAGTCTAAAAAGGTGTAAAGCAAAAAATTGAGGAAAAATGAATAAAATTTTGAATCAGGCAAACAGGTCTTTATTTAAAAAGAAGCATTATAATGTGCAAATTTCAAATGCATAGAAAATAAGATAATTATTGCATTATATTTTAGAATTTTGCCAAATGCTTGAGATAAAAAAAAAAAAAAAACTTTTGGCAATGTTTTAAAATATAATGAAACACAAACAAACATTTATTTCTGCCTCAATATAATTCTGTAAAAAAATGCAAAGTATCTGATGCATTAATGTATACAGGATGTTCAGGTGGTTAAGGCTTTAATTATGTAAAGTATTGATCCTGGACGTATACTTCCAGTTACAAGGTATGTCAAAATTATCTGGAGAATTCTGTACTGTAGAACCTCGAGCTACAACATGATCGAAAAGTCTACATGTTTGTGAGCTTGTGAGTTCATTTTTTTTTTCATTTAACATGAAAATAATTATTTTGCAATTCCTCCCAAGAAGATTGTTACCTTAGTGCTGCAGTGAAAAAGAAGGAAGCCATAAATAAACATATGCATGGTGCAAGAGTGATGGAATTGGTAAAGTTACAGCCGCTTAACATCGACGATCTGCACTATTCTGAAGAAGAAGGAAGGAATTAAGAAACTTGATGTGCCCAAAGGAGTTACCATTACTTCCAAGCACCTTCCAAAACTCCTAGATGTTGAGAAGCTGTCGTTGGTGTGGATTAACAAGAAGCAGATAAAATTTGAAAAGGCGATTTGGTGTCAGAAGCTATCATTTGTGCTAAGTCTAATCTGTACTGGGATCTTCTCCAAAAAAACACCAGGTACGTTGACTGAAGATGAGGTGGCATTTAAGGCAAGTCGTGGAGGGTTCGAAAAATTTAAAAAGAGAAACGGTATTCACAGTGTTGTACGACAAGGGGAGGCTGTGAGCTCTGATACAGCTGTTGCTGATAAATTTCAGCCAGAGTTCCTACAATTTATTATTATTGAGGGGTTTCTTCCCCAACAAGTGTTTAATTCTGATAAAACAGGTCTTGTTTGAAAGAAAATGCCTAAGAGGACCTATGTCATGCAAGAGGAGAAACCTTTGCCTAGCCACAAGGTGACTCTTCAGAAAAGGTAAACTGGGGTTATATTATTTACCAGTGTTATTTATTAGGAAAATTTATTTTTATGTTCATATTTTTGGGGGTATGGAATGAATTAACTGGACTTCCATTATTTTCATTGGGGAAGTTTGTTTCTACATGCGAGAAATTTGCTATACGAGCTTAATGCTAGGACAAATTAAATATCTCGAGGTTCCAGTATGTATATAAATGGATACATTCTGATTATCTGGATCCCTTTAAGATATACTAGGTCATTTGCAATTTTATGAACTGGCAAAATATCTTTGGCTATTTCTGTGGCTCTTTGATATTGTGCTGTTCATAAATAATAATTAAAAGAAGCATTTTATAGTAAATAAAAAATTTTATGAGAGAAAACAAATATTTAAACATAGATATTTACATTTTTACAATTCAGTGAAATGACACTTAAATATAGTGTTGATCCATATATACTCATAAAAATGTGGTATAGACATGCAGGAGTTAGCTACTGTCACATATTTCCTCAAAAATACCAAACACATGGCAGTTTTACTGATTGCCAAGAGTGTTGGTAATCAGAAAATACTGAAAAAATACACTATGGTAAGAGGATTATGTTATCATAAAACCTAATTTTTTTATTGTATTTATTATGATCATGTTCTCAAAATTTGTATGTTGTATTTTCTGTTATGTGAAAATTAATTTCAAAGGGCTAGAAGCAAATTTAATGCCAGGTACTGTTTTATCCAAAATGAAACTATTAATCATTAGACTGGGGAGCATCTGTGTGCTTTGTAATTGCTTTTTGAACTTATCCTCTAAAGTCCTGAATATATGCTAAAAGTGGTGTGATGTAAGTCAGTAAATTGCTCATACAATCTCTATGAAATTTTTTTTTTATTGAAATTTGGAATGCTTTTTTTTTTTCCTGTTTCTAACCAAGAAAATCTGTCATCTTTAAAATTAAAGTAGTATGAGAAGCATAATTGTATGGATTCAAAAAGAGCAGTATCAAATTACCATCTAAATCCCTTTGCATAATTGAAAAAAAAAAATTCTGACTATGAGGTTTTTATCACCAACAGCAAGTTTTCTAACAGCATTTTGAAATTCTAAATAATCGCACATGGTGCTAAACCCATAAATGCGGTTATATTTACATAATTTTAATTATAAATTCACTCTGATTTGGAGCTGATTTTTTTTACATATTATGTACTTCTAATTGAGCATAATTATTTATTTTATTGTGTACTGATGTGACTCACAGTAGTATAAACAAAGTTCATTACATGTATATAAATGCATGCAAATTAAGATTTTACATATATGTATTCTTTTATTACCTCATACTTCCAGACTGACTATCAATCATCTTGAGACTCAAAAAATAATGTTTTGAAACTGTAGAAATTGCAAAATAACAGTACATCACAAAATATTGTGATATTTTATGTGTTTTAATTGCTTATTTATAGTGTTTTAATGTAGTTTTTCTATCACTGTTTATTTTTAAATGAAAAGATTCATGTATATATTAAAAATATTGAGAGTTCAAGGTTGGCAGAGCTTCTTTGTAAAAATCATGGATTCTTTTTACTAAGTGGGAGTTTTCACTTTCTGCTTATCATGCAAAAAGCTCGATTTTTTTAAAAAATTCTAAAATCCTCCAACTGGTAGTATTTAAAGCGTTAAAAAGTATTGTATCTTAATTTATTAAACATTATTTGAGGGAGTAAGAAGCTGATGTGCATATTCAATTTTTTTAACATTCTGTCTATATATCAGATGTTTTTAATTCCCTGGAGGCTAAGCTTGTTAATTCCGAAGCAGGCCATTTTCTATTTCTACTTTCTTATTTATTTTTCATGCCTTTATTGATCATTTGCTGCCTAAAAACTTCATTAATGTACAGTTTGGTTTTGAAACCATTATACAGACATGAAGTGCTATCAGATATCCATTTAGTGACATCTTTTCATATCACTCAATTGAGTGGTTCAGCACTTGATCACTCTGTGGGAAAACACCTGAACTATACAGAAATTGAATGAGAAGCAATTTGAAAATGTGATTCCATATAATTTTTCTCAGTTTTATTCTGAAACTAAAGGTGTGCTTTGCTGTCAGAAATGTTTCATAAAAAGTATTTATATAATGCTAACTTGCAAGGAAATAGAATGCTTTTCCTGTATTAAAATACTGGTATTTTCCTTGAGTTGCTTTTGGTTCCACATTTGAGTTAAGATTATTTGTTTATTTTCTGTACTTGTTTATTCCTGTAAAAAAGTCATCACAATTCTATAAATTTGACTGAATTTTTAATTCGTACATGGTTTAGAAAAGATTGCAAAACTAAATAATTTTTGAATGGGTGTGCATAGTTTTGGTTTAAAAATGAATCACTTAGGTAGGCAGTATCACATGACAGAAAAAATACGAAAATTCATTATTTTAATTATTCATTACTCATAAGAAAATGAAAAAATGTTTTTCATTGCTGACTTAGTCAAACAAGAGAGAAATTTCCATTAAATTAACCAAGATAATAATTTATTAAAATTTAGTGGTCATGTACAAATATTGCTAAAATAGAGCTATGTAGGTTTAATCTTTAAATGCAGATTTCTTAAACATACTTTTTGTGTTTGAAAAACATGCAAATAAAAAAACATAACCATTGTTACAAATACTAAAATTAATTTTATTTTTGATTAAATTCAATTTTATACCACTCTCTACTAGCTTATTGTGCCTTCCATCAATTTAAGTGAAGGTAGTTCTGGTTATAGAATTTTGAGAATTATTTCTAAATTTGTTTTTTCATATTACAGACAGTCCCCTTGTAAATACGTTTAGTAGGGTAATACTCATATGACAAAGCATTTCAGTGAGGTAAGAAACTATTATAACAAAACATGCTTGTAAAACTTAAAATGATTTACAATTTTTATTAAAAGTTGTCATTTGATCAAAATTCTCATGGTGACAAAATTCTTTAATTCATTCCTTAAATTGAAACGATGGATTTGTTGCTAATCACACATTACAGTGCATTAAGAGAAGATTGCTGCAAGATTTAATTCACAA